ACATGATCACCTTTTAAGTACTTTATAACATCAGGGATGTTACAGTGTAGTCAACACATATCCTCCATTTCCCACTCTTCTTTTATACAAGAACGGGATTGGCTAACCACTCTGGGTGGTACACTTCCTTGATGAATCCGACCGCCAAAAGCTTTGCGATCTCCTCGCCGATGGTCCTGCGTTTCCCCTCATCGAAGCGACGCAGGCGCTATTTTACCGGCTTGGAGCCTGGGTGGATTTTCAAGGCATGCTCGGCAACCTCCCTCGGGATGCCTAGCATGTCCGAGGGTTTCCACGCGAAGATGTATTTGTTGGCGCGGAGGAAGTCGATGAGCGCGCTTTCCTATTTAGAGGAAAGCGCGGTGCCAATGCGCACCACCTTGCCCTCCGAGCTGCCGAGATCTATGAGGACCTCCTTGGAGCCCTCTGCTGGCTCAAAAGACCCGGTCGACCTCTTGGGGTCGGGTGCTTCATCGGTGACCTCTTTCCTGAGGGTCGCGAGCTCTCCGGAGACGACGATTGCTGCTGCGTGATCACAACACTCAACTTCACACTCGTAGGCGCGCTGAAAGGAGGTGCCAACGATGATGACTCCATCTAGGCCCGGCATCTTCAGCTTGAGGTAGGTGTAGTTGGGGACAGCCATGAACTTCGCGTAACATGGTCGTCCCATGATGGCGTGATAAGTTCCGTGGAACCCAACCACTTCGAAGGTGACGGTCTCGGTCCTATAGTTGGACAGACCCCCGAAGGTGATGGGCAGATCGATCTGCCCAAGTGGCATGGCCTGCTTTCTAGGCATGATGCCATGGAAAGGCGCTCCGGTCGGCCAGATATGTGCTTGGTCAATGCCCATGGTGTCAAACGTCTCGGCGTACATGATATTGAGGCCGCTGCCTCCATCCATCAGTACTTTGGTGAGACGCTTCGTGCTGATGATTGGGTCGACCACGAGTGGGTATCTCCCCGGCTGTGGGATGCTCTTTGGGTGGTCAGTCTGATCGAAGGTTATAGCGGACTCTAACCATTGGAGGAAGGTAGGTGTGGCCAGTTTGGTCGTATAGACCTCGCGGCGTGTGACTTTCTGGCGGCGCTTGGAGTCGTAGGCCATCGATCCTCCAAAGATCATGAGGCAGCCATCTGGCGTTGGAAAGCCGCCATCCTTCCCCTCGGCGTCATCCGTGGTAGGGTCAGGGTCCTTCCCGTGCTCCGCTTTGTTGGAGCCTCCGGACAAGAACCGCTTCATGAGGCCGCAGTCCTTGCACAGATGTTTAACTAGGAAGGCATGGTTCGGGCATGGCCCCTCGAGTTGCTTTTCAAAGTGGTTCGAAGTGCCCTCCATGGGCTTCCGACCACCCTTGTGGTCAGCGGTGGCCACGAGCGAGCCCTCGCGCCACTGCTTCTTGTTCTTCTTTTCGGCGGGACGATTGGTGGCGCCTTCGCCGGCATCCTCGTCCCGCCTCACCTTGCCATTGAGGTGATCGAAGATCGCTCCGACCGCTTCTTCACCCGAGGCGTGGCTGGTGGCGATGTCAAGGAGTTTCTTGGTGGTCCGTGGGCCCTTGTGTCCTAGTTTGTGGACCAAGGACTCATAGGTGGTCCCAGATAGGAAAGCTCCTATAATGTCGGCATCGTCGATGTTAGGTAGCTCGTTACACTGCTGGGAGAAGCGTCGGATGTACCCATGAAGGGTTTCTCCAGCCTTCTATTGGTAGTTCTTGAGGTCCCATGGGTTCCCAGGGCGCTTGTACGTGCCCTAAAAGTTTCCTACAAAGATTTCCTACAAGTCCGCCCAACTCTGGATTCTGTTGGACAGCAGGTGTTCCAACCACGTTCATGCCGAATCGGCCAAGAACAGTGGAAGGTTGCAGATAACGAAATCGTCATTATCCACACCACCGGCTTGGTAGGCAAGCTAATAATCCTCGAGCCATAGTCCGGGGTTTGTCTCCCCAGAGTACTTTGGGATGTTGGTAGGTGGCCAGTACCTTCGCGGGAAGGCATCGTTGAGGATATGTCATCCGAAGGCCTGAGGCCCCGGCAGGCCGGGGCTCGGGCTTCGGTTCTCACCACTGTCGTAGCGTCCACCATGATGAGGGTGATAGCCTCAGCTAGCTCCCTCTCTCGGGTCATCGTAGGTACGCCTGTGGGCATCGAGGGTGTTGCGTGCGTCTCGGTTGCGGCCGAGACACTGACGCACTGGGACCACGGTGCGCTGCCTACCACCTTGCGGCACCTGGTGGACCGATGCGCCCCTGTCGGGGTGTTCTGAGGGGGTGCGCTGGCTGGCATCGAGCTCGCATCGCCAAGACAACGAGCTCTCGGCCTGCTGTGCTGCCGTACGCTCGAGCAGCGTGCGAATCTCGTGGTGGGCCCGATGATCCTCTAGGAGACCACAGAGCAAGGCCGTCGCAGCGGCGATGTTCGGGCTCGCCTAGGTGAAGCGAGGGAGGGCTTCATCGTCGACGATGATCCTACGGTTCACATCGCGGGCCATGGCGCGTGCACGCCCAGCATCTCTGTGGCGCTCGATCTCCCGATCGAGCTCCACGCATTCCTGCTCGAGCTGGAGTCGCGCTTCCTCGATCTCTCGATGTCAGGCTTTCAGCTGCTCCAAGCTCATGCAAGGTGGGGCCGCTATCTCCCCCTCGGCCTCATTGTCAAGGTCGTTCGCCGGGGTAGCCTCCTCCTCAGGGACACTTTTGACATGTCCCTCGGGGGTACCGGTCATGAAGCATTCACGAGAGGGGTGATGGCTCCCCCTGCTGGAGTCAGAGCCAGAGGGCGACTCCGGCTCCTCTGTGAGGAGTCATGGCAAGATTCCACGACATGTTCGATCACCCCCACAAACTCGTCGTTCATGGGGGACGGGATCATGCGCTGCGCCCTAAGGTGGCCAACGGTCTCTGCGGCATTGCAGAGACCGAACGGGAGCACTGTCAGATCACGGGTCTCCGGCGCATGCAGCCATAGCTCTTCGAGCATCTTGGTGATCGTGTCGAGGCCGGTGGAGTGGAAAGGTTGAACGATGACGGGTGCCCACGCCAGCTCTCCCTCCCCCATGACGATGAAGTCTAGATCCCCGAAGCGCGCGTGTGCGCCCGGGACCCAGCTAATTCCGTGCTAGCCATCCGCGGCCAACTGTTGGTGTTTTGAATAAACACCAACAAGTAAATTTGTATTATTACGCATCTGACTCGGATGGTGTGCTAAAAAGACACAAGGTTTATACTGGATCGGGTAGAATGTCCCTACGTTCAGTTCATGGCTGCTGCTCGTGTTACTTAGCACTGAAAAGTTTGCAGTAGGGGTTACAAACGGGCGAGAGAGGGACAGGTCCCAAGTCTCTGGTGTGATGTGGTGTGATATGTGATGTGGTCGATCGATACCTTTAGTAGGGTGCCCTGCTTTCCCTTTTATAGGCCAATGGATAGCACGGATTACAGATGGGAGGAAAGAGGAGAACGAGAGGCAAAGGAACTCTTTCAAGGACGCTGAGTCTTCCTTTTCCTCTGTGCGGGCCTTGTTGATATGACAGGCGGTGACAGGGACAGCCTTGTGCCGGGCATATTTCCGCTGACCCTGACAGGCCCACGCCGGGCGTTTGTCCGCTGACGATGCCATGTCCTGGCATTGTCAGCGGGTTGTCACGTCCCATCCCGCCCCGGCGGGCGGCGCGGCGGACCAGCGTGCCGATCAACGACCATAAAGAGAGCAGGCAGCACAGTGACCGCACGTCCGTTACTCCTTCTGGACCGTAGTGGTTGTCGTGAGCTTCCGTAAGGGCTCGTGCCTGAGGGCAAATGACGGCGCCCACAACACCGTGACAAAAATGTCGGCGCCTACAACACTGTTCGGGCTCTGACATGCCTGGAAGGTTGCAAAGCACCCTTCTGGCATGGCCTGACGGTACTGTCCTGCAGGTGTGTAGGGTACAGTCCTCGGTATTGCGGTTGACTTGAGCGTCTTGCCTTATCTGCTTCGCCTGATTCCCGGGTCGGTACTGTGGTAATGTCGTCATAGGCGTCGGGTGAGGCGAAGCCAGCCCTCAGACGTCGGGTGAGGCGGAGCCAGCCCTCGGGGGTCGGGCGAGGCGGAGCCAGCGCTCAGACGTCAGGTGAGGCGGAGCCAGCCCTCGGGGGGGACGAGGCGGTGCCAACCCTCGGGGGTCGAACGGGCGGAGCCAACCCTCGGGGGTCGGACGAGACGGAGTTTGCCCTCGGACGTCGGGCAAGAGGCGTAGTCGCGGTCTTGTCTGTTCGGAAGAATTAACGTTGATGGTTATTAGCTCCTCCTGTTTGGGTACCCTAGTATTTGGTCCCCGACAATACTAATGGTTCTTTGCTAGAACATCGCCGCAGCATCGACTCGATCTTCACGCTGATCACTTGGTACATTTGGAAGGATCGAAACGCTCTTCATTTTGAACCATGAAGAAACTACAGCAACACAGGTTGTTCATCTGGCTGCCCTTGGCTGGAGTAGCACTGTTAGTCTTGTTGCCTAGCCTAGCGTGTGCTCAATCTTTGGTTGCTTCCATAATTCTTTTTATGCGCATGACGCATGCATGTGCGTGTGCCTTTGATCCCTTTGTAAACTGAACTCTATTTTTTACTTCTTAGATACGAACTCCCTTTTGCATTCTTGAGAAAAAAAGCAATGGTTCTTTGCTGTGGTTTCTAGACTTATTTCTCTATGAATCTGACGTACGTGTTTATACAAAAAAAAGGCACTTAGAACTTTTATAAAAAGAACAATCCATTTATGGAACATATAAAGAATGACAGAAACAAAGTATTACATCCATTTTCTTTCGTCATAGGCCAGTTAAAAACCGAAGAAAAATATATATTTGGAGTATCAAGCCAGAATCCCTGCTTCCATGACAATCTCCTAACTCACCTGACAAAAGTAATTTATAGTCTACACTTTTCTGGACTCGTCGTCTTCAGGATTGCATAACAAGGGACAGATGGTGCATACCACCAACTGTCTGAATCTTACTGATCAGCACATGATTCATTAACCTTCCATTTGGACAGTGCATACAGTACTCTCCCTTTCCACCCTTGTAGCAGCCAGCCGTTGTCTTCATCAGCAACAAAGTCCTCATGGTAAAATTCTTTCTTCATCCATAATACTAACTTCATGATGGCAGGATCGAGAGGAAGCTGCTCAAACCCAGCCTTGTGGCACCTTGCTTGCCACTGCTGGTAAGTTTCTGGCCTCTCAATCCTGTCAGCACCCTCACATGCTACGACGTTTAAGATCTCCCGCCCAAGCTTTCCACCCTCTAACAGCTTCCTTTCTTCATTATTCCGTGGAGCACTCATATCAAGCATGTCAAATAGCGAGGAGTAATGGAACAGAAGCTCTTTGGGTTCATCCTCCTCATGATCTTCAGTACCCTATCCCTCGCGCTATCCATGGCTACTGACTCATCGCCGAGGTTCTTCATCTGGTACATGCAGTTGATTATAAGCACTTCATCCTCCTCAATGTTGAGATCTTCAATCTGAATATTTTCATATCGTGAGTAAATGCCCTGATACTGAAAGAGTACCTTGTACATGTTTGCATAGTCCGCCAACAGCTTCCCTGCCCGCTCAATGTTCTCCCAAGGGGCTGAAACCAGGCCGAGGCACTTCTATACCTGTGAACCGAGAAGCCTTGGAGGCACTCCTTGCTCACCAAAAAGCTGAATCAGCGACGGCCATTGAAACCCAAAGCAGACACCAATGTCGACGATGTGCACCTTGGATTGGCCCACTGAAGCTTCCAAGATACTTTGGTTAGCGAAGGTGTATGATGCCCTGAGGAAAGGGCAAACTGCAAGATAGAAGTTGTAGACCTTCAACAAATCTTCGTCGCTTATTCGCTTTGCCAGCACCTTGGGGAACAACTGAACTGACTCCCCGTCCCAGCCAGGCGTGCCTCAAGGCCATTCACGAAGTAAAATGCCAGTCTCTGGCAACATTCTCCATCTCTCGAGGAGTGCTGCCTTATCTTCTTTGAGCTCACCAGCCAAGAGACGGTCGTCAGCTGCCACAGCTTGTGCACAGTGGATGAGGAGGGTCCTGAGGTCGACCACCTCTTTCTTGAGCTGCATAGTGCCCCGCAACTTCTGTCGAGCGGGTGTTTTGCTTTGACCCTTTGGTGAATTCTTACTTGCTTCCTTTGCAGCCATGTCTCTCAGCCTTGCCGTTTCAATGAAACAGTCCAGACCATAGCATAGCAGGACCCTGTCGAACTTTTCGTTTCGGCTTATTTCGCAAGTGATGGTATAGTTTTTCCTTTTCCCTTCCCTGGTATCCGAGTCTTGGATATATGGATTGTTCCTGTAGTCGGTGATCTGAAAGATTGCATATTTGCTCTTCCCGGCTACTGTTTTTGCCTTAGTACGTAGTGTCCAGTCTGCAGATCGAAAGCTTGTCTTTTTCCAAACAGATCACCATCTTATCAAACCCTTTTCCATCCTCGGCTTCTCTTCCAATTTGCAAGGCAGAGAAACCAAATCTTGAGGCCCTCCCAGTGCTTGCCAAAGGCTGATATGGCAGGAAAAGACTCCTGCCATAGCTATATGGACTCAATGGGGCTGGCAAGGACTGCAACATGCTGTGACTGGAAATGTCAGTAGTGAAACTGCTTCTGCGAGGCCTTTTGTGATAAGTGTTGCTACCCTCACCTGGTCCTTCTCCTGCTTCGCCGCTGTGATGTAGCGATGACCAGTAGAGTGAAGGCGGGTATACCTGCTCAAGAATATCGTAGAAGGCCTTCTCAGCAGCCTGAAGGTCGGCCTCCCCTTCATGCGAGCCGACCCTCTCATCAACGTCCTCCATCAGGATCTGGCTTATATGGTGAAGAGCATTGTTTGATCTAATCCTTTGGTAGTCTGGACTAACCCCTGCAGCAATCTGAAGGTGGTTCTGTCCGAGGTTGCTACTGACATTGTACATTCCAGGGATGGTGACTACACCGGAGAACTGCATGTTTGATTCATTGGTTGATTGGGAGAAGAACTGGGGATCACATAGTCTTTGGTCATACAGTGTGAGTTGTTGCTGAGAAGAAGAGGAAGAAGAGCCATCTTGCTGTTGTCCAGGCGTTGTAATGGTGTACAGATCATCAAAGGGAGACTCAATCACCATCGAATATTAACCACACTGTGAGGATTAGCCCTTCAATAGAACAAAAATGTTCAGCTTGTCTCTGAGAGGAAAACTAGTTTGTATTAGAATGAATTTTCTGCAAAGATAACAAAAATTAGGTCGATCTTACTAGTATGCTGGATTAATCCATTATAATTCATGCACCTAATTCAAAGTTTTGTTAATAAATGTTTTTATGTAATAGGTGATTTACATCAGCTAGATTCTACTGTCACTAGCAAAGCATGTTTTTAGGTAGGTGGGGGTGTGGGAGGTGCTTAGTGTCACATTAGTGGTAAGCGTCAACAAATGGATACGATCGACCCATGCACACTGTGATGGGTTGATGATGTTAGAAAAGAAAGCAACTGTTAGCTTAGCCTATTCAGAGTCTTCTTGTTGGCATCAGTGGCACACATGAATGACTGATTTACAACATTTCTTGCAGTTGCAGCAAAATGGATGCTCCTAATTTTTCTTATTTCTTGTCTGAGCTGCAGGATGCATGCATAATGCCTAATCTAGCTTAGACATGAAGAGCAAGCATTGAAAATGTACTTCACATACCTTTATTAATAGCAATGTCACCTATGTCCAAGTCCTTCAGCAGGAGGTGGCAGGAAGAAGAGGGCATGTCTTTCTCTCCAGGCAATCCAAGCAGCTTTATATAGAGATTAAAATAAAATCTTGACCATTCAAGACTTGAGGTGCCCTGTGATGTTGTTACACTGAACAGCGAGACTGGCATCCACGTAAGCCAACGTAACCCAACTTGCCCTTTTGTTTTTCTCTAATTTCTTCTCAAGCAACACCGCCCATGGGGATGTCGACATCCAGGATGCAGACAGAGAATGGTCCAGACTGTCTTCTCATCCTCTCTATAATTTAGCCGTTCAGCTCTGGAGTTTGGAAGATCGATAACAGGCCAAAATTGGGAGCAAAGAGCGAGGCCACTTGATCAGCTGGTTAGGATTCCGTGCTCATGAAGGAGTTTGAGAATATCATCTATCTGCCCAGCGCAGCAAACTAGCATGAAAGTTAACGTGAATAATATGATGGATCTATATCCCAACAATAGGCGTACTAATGTTTTACAAAACTTTTTGACCATATAGATGAAGTCATAATTGTTCACCCAAATAAGAATGATACCATACACATGAAGTTTTTGTCCACCCATATGGCAAACTTAGGTCCCACCTTGTATGTGGAACTACAAGAAATATCAGATAATGCATGGCCCAATGCAATACTTCAGAATGATATCATCATGTTAGGATTGATCTCCCACCAGTTAGGCCCAACGGCCTAACTGGGCCTTGTCCTCGCGCCCTGATCGGGGGCGCCCAACCCTACATGGTTGGTGGGCCCCCGTCGCACAGCGCTATAAAGGAAAGGTGGGGGCCGGGGCTCGAAGTATGAGGTTCACCGCGCCGCCAGTCACCCCACCGATATCCTATCCCTAGACCCGATCTTGAGAAGGGGCGCTGCCAGCGACGGGAAGCACCACCGACGCCGGCAACGCCACCCGACGCGCACGCCGCCACCAAGGACGTCACAGCGCCGACTCCCTCTCCACCGACCGTCGCTGCCGGCGCGCAGATGGCGTCCGTCAACGAAACCCCGGCCGGAGCTTCGACAACTACGGCATTTGACGGTTTGCAACCTATCACCCCTTCCTCTCTGTCTCTCTGTGATCCCGAACATCTATTACTACTATGCTAAGTATCCCGATCTGATGAATACACTCAAATTGAAAACTAACACATCATACTTTTTAAAGAAGTTTTTTCTGGCAGTTGATTGTATTTCATGGACGGCAGAGATGCATATACTTTTTTATGCGTCTCCAACTTTCAATATTTTGCCCATAGGTGTCCCATCTGTAGCAAACTACAAGGGCAGTCAGCAGCAGATATATATTTGATAAAGTAGATGCAGTCGCACCATATTGCGTAACAGCAGGCATGCATAAGCCACCAAGAAATGAACCATTTTTCTTCTCTGATGACGAAAACTAGAGTAATAAACTAATAATGGACTGGCAGACAGCCGACGACACTACGTACAAGATGCAGGCACAGCTAATGGTGTCAAATGGAGAGTGATAGAAACAAATGAATCCAGGCTGGTACGGCTGAACCAATCAAAAATCATTTCCCCTCCTCTTTTTTTTATTAAGGTAATGGCAAGAGCTCTGCCTTTTAATTAAGTGAATGGGAGGCAATCAAAATTCTTCAAAGGAATTGGCCTATATCCCAATTACAACCCAGATGCCATCTTCTAATTGCCAAGGTTACACACCTTAACTTGTGATGTGCTAACCCTAGGAACGATTAGGTATTTCTCAAAGCATCACGGAAGCAAATAGCAAAAGCGAATTAATTAAGTTACTATTTAACTGACAAACAAGAGCTCTAAATAAATAAGCATGCTTGAATAAACTAACTGTTCTCTCAGCTCATGCAAGAGGATATAATAAAGTGAACTCAAGTGCTGACCTGCAATAATCAAAACAAAAGACCAGTAGCTCGAGATAACTAGCCAGTGGATAAACAAGAAAAAGTCCAAGACTAGCAAGCCGTTAAATAGAACTTGAATATATGCAAAGCATGAGCCGGAGAAACATTGCACTTTAAATGAAATAAAGTAACGGCTAAACAGTATGCAAGCACTTGCTCTGTTGCACGGTCGATGAACACAGTAAGAAAAGCTGGCTGCTCCCTATTGTTCTAGCTGAAAACCAAAGTGAGTTGCAGCTCCTGTAAACATGCAAAGAACAAGAATACTATTCGCTCACTAATAAGTAACACTAATAAGTTGCTAATTGCTGCACCAGCTGCCGGCCTGCTAACCTGAAGATAAAAGGTTATTACTTTTGGAAGTGACAAGCTGCAGAATAAAAACAGAGATCAGTTTGGGCGTGAGATGCTGCTGTCAATCTGCAGAGAGAGAGAAAACAGCGACTGGACAACCTGCTATTGAACAGAAACACTGAAGTCCCAAGCAAAAAACAAAAACGAGTAGAGAAAAATGCAAGCTGCTGGACACAGATTGAGATGAAATCGGCAACCGGTGTATACACTAAATCGATCACAAGCCAGGTGCTACTATAGCTGAAGGAAAGCAGCTCCTATCATCTGCAGTTGCTGACTGAGGAGAAGAAATCAAATGGAAAGAGCTGACGATTCATGAACTGAAAGAACAACAGCTCAGTTTCTCTCCAAAATTTCACCGACACAAGCCAAAACAACAGCAATTGATATAGAACTCGAACCGCAACCTCATATCATCACGTGAAACCTATTCCAACTGAAAACATTCAAAAAGATCGAGCCTTTCTCATCAACTTCGCAAAATCCAGAAAAAACTAGGCGACCAACGAATTTTGCCGAATTTCAAATTCCTGGCACTCAGGTGAGAGATTTGTTAGGGATCACCTTAGCCTTGCTCACATATGTCCTAGCACCAAAATCCCTCAGGAAATTTGACCCAAATCGCTGTCAAATCCGACAAACGGAAAAAATCCCAAAAATAGCTCCGAAAATCACAGAAAAAGAAAAACTTCGAATTTGAAGACAAGTAAAGCCCCAATTTGATCCATGGATTAGTTTGACAGATAAGATTACAGGCCATTCCTAACAGATTTCAAAGTTTGATGGTGAAAAGCTCAATCAAAAGCCACTTCTCCCTCCCCGTCTTCCTCTAACCCTAGCCTCTCACAACCACACGGATAAGAGGGTGAAAGCCCTAGTTTAGTTTTGATAATTGATGAAACTTATGGACTAATCCTTGAGCTAAGTGTGTAAACAAAAAAGGTTGGTCCAAAGTCAAGTAGTGGAGTTAGATGATGGTCATGGTGATGGTGGTGACCAAAAGCGATGAACATCAACTTGGAAAAGAAGAAATAGAAAAATAGAAACCAAGTGTTGATCAAGGCAAAGTTATCAAATAGGTTTTTATTTTGGCACTCAAGACACCATAGAGGATGTGAGTATTAGGATCGATAGCCGTACTATAAAGAGAAAAAACATTTGGCTAAGCGGTTATCGAGTGCTACTAAATGAAGTGATTCATGCATATGCATTTAGGGACCTAGTATGCTAACAATTAACCCTTGAAAATGCTTTGAAAATATACTAACACATGTGCACAAGTGGTGAGACACTTTGGTATTGGCACATGCAAGCAAGGGTGAAGTGAAAAGGAAGAGAAGGGGTTACTCACATGTGACCGGACGCTGGTCTCGGCATGACCGGACGCGTCCGATGCCTGACCCTAGGTGGCGTGTCTCTGGTCGTTGGACCGGACGCTAGTGGCGAAGGTGGACCGGACGCCCTGGGAACACTGTTACCGTGTCTGGTCAGTGAGCCGTGGCGCGTGCACTACGGAGGAGAAGAGGACTAGACGCGGGGCGCGTCAAGTCATCATTGACCGGACGCGTCCGGTCAGAGAGAATCCTCTCCAATTCCTTTCTGTACTCGACCGGACACTGAGTGGTGACGAGTCCAGTCAGTCTTGAAGCACGTCTGACGCAACTTAACTACGCGAGCGATCCGCTAGTGACCATTGGAGATGAACGGGCGAGGTTCAAAGGGGAGCCACATGGACGCCATCGGGCGACCGGACGCTGGGGTGCGTCCGGTCAGCGAGTCCAGTCGCGCCTGTAGCAGCCAACGACTCTTTGAGCCAAGGGGGCTCTATAAATAGACTTGGGCCGGCTCTAGCTCACTTTCTTACACATTTTCATCAGTGATACATCCTTGTGAGCCTAAGCAAACACCTTCCACTCATCTCCTCCATTGATTCATCATCAAAGTGAGATTGGGAGTGATTCCTAGTGCATTTGCTTGAGTGATTACATCTAGTGGCACTTGGGGATCGTTGTGGCTGTGGATTTTTTGTTACTTTTGGTGTTTGCTGACACCTAGACGACTTGGAGCAGCGGAGGAGCATTGGCACAAGTTGGTGATTGTTCGTGGCCATCTCCCGGTGATTGTGAGGGGTCTTGTACCTTCCCTGGCGGAGAGCTGAAAGGCAACTCTAGTGGATTGCTTGTGTCATTGAGTTACCTCACTTGTGGGTAGGTTCTTGCGGCATCCAAGTGGTGGGTTAGGTGTGTGATACCTATTAGCCGCCGAATCACCAAGTATTGGTCGACACAACGGGGACGTAGCTTGCCGGCAAGCAAGTGAACCTCGGGATAAATCTTGGTGTCATCTCTTGGTATTCATATTGTGATCGATTGTCTCTTGCCAACATTGGTAACACTCTCTACCACTTGTATTACATTCACATTCATTTGTGTAGTGGTAGTTGTGGTTTGAGTAGAGTAGCTCTCTTGCTAGTTAGTTGACTAGCTTGCTTAGCCTCTTGGTAGTTGTTAGCTATTTCAACTAGTGTACATTAGTGACATAGCTCTTGAGTGTACCTAGAGATCATAGCAACTACAATTGTTGGTATAGGTGGCTTGCAACCTTTGTAGAGCTAGAGCAAAATTGCATTACGCCACTTAGTGTACTAACCATTTGCTCTAGTGAATTTGTAGAGAATTTTTATAGGCTATTCACCCCCCCCCTCTAGCCATTTAGGACTTTTCAGATGGACCTACTCTATTTTCACGATTGCACCCAATCGTCACTCCATGTATATATAGGCTCGTTAAAAGACAAAAACACCCTTGCATTGAGCACACAACCCAAACACCCTTTTATATTAAAAAAAACTCAAATACCCTTTAGGGGTAAATCTGTTCATCTTTTCATTGCTACATTGAACAGACCTAGCGCCTTCACGACTTCGCTTTGTCTCGATGCAAGCTTCGCGATGGTGCGATGGTGCCACGCATCCTTTGACTCGCCATTTCCAGTTTTGAGGCCCACCGATCAAACCCACCGTCGATGGTTTTGAGATCAAAACCACTAAACCGTCCACGTCTGGTTTTGAGGCCCAAACTATCATACCATCCATCCCCAGTTTTGAGGACCAAACCAGTAAACCCTCATACATGCCTTACTAGGCACTCAAGGCACTCACCGATGTCGACGCATGCCCGACCTCTGCCAAGCTTAACATCTTCGTCTTTCTTCTTGACTTGACCAACACCATCTTCATTACCAATGTAGATGCATGTCCGGCCTCCGCCAAGTGCCACAACGCATGGAGGCCAAGTACCACACTTGTGTCGATCATTCATCACACACACATGGGCACATCTCGACCATGTGTTCACAATCTCCCCATTTATGAATGCATTGACCAACATTAAAGCCCAACAAATAAGGTTTGGGAAAAATAGAAAACTCTTGTTCAAGTGCCCAAAAGCCAAGTAAAAGCAAATACAAGGCCACTTGATGCGAGGAAGGATCATGAAAATTCTAAGTAAAATCTCTCGGTTCTCAAAAAAGGGCAAAGACTTAACACAACTGAAGATTCAAGTAAGAGAGACAAGAGCTTCATGCAATCCCAAAAGCACTCAAAGCCATTTCATCCATTGTCAAATGGTCATCACAAATAAACCAAGGTTTTTATCCACTTGGTTTCATATCCCCCCTGATGATTGAATCTTTGTTATAAACAAAAATCTTTCGTTGTCTAGCCTAACGCGTGCTCAATCTTTGCTATAAAAAACCTTTGGTTTTCTATGCGCATGACGCATGCGTGTGCGTGTGCCTTTGACCCCTTTGTAAACTGAAATCTATTTTTTTACTTCTTGATACAAAGATACAAACTCTCTTGCACATTTTTTGAAAAAAAAAGTAATGGTTCTTTCCTGTGGTTTCTAGACTTATTTCTCTATGGATCTGACATATGTGTTTTATACAAGAGAAAAATAGGCACTTATAACTTATATATATAAAGAACAATATGTTTATAGAACATATAAAGAATGACAAACAACGCGCTTCTGACGAGCACCCTAGAAGGTCCATAGGGTTACAGTGGCTGGACCATCCTAGCATACAAGTTCAAATTTTTGATATTACAAAAAATGGTAGACAATCGAGATAAGGGCAGCGACACAACCTACGAAGTGGGTTTGCACCTCCGCTGCTGCCTGCGCGATCAAATTCCGACGTCTGGGAAGAGCGCTCCTAGTGCTTCGACATTGGAAGCATTCGGGCCAGCCTCGTAGGTATTTCTTTTCGACACGCTTGATGTGGATGGATCTGTGGCCAAACCCAAACCCACTTCCCTATATAGAACATATAAAGAATGACAGAAACAAAGTATTGCAGCCATTTTCTTTCGTCATAGGCCAGTTAAAAACTGAAGGAAATATATATATATATATATATATATATATATATATATATATTTGGAGTATCAAGCCAGAATCCCTCCTTCCATGACAATCTCCTATATCACCTGACAAAAGTAATTTACAGTCTACAGTGTTCTGACTCATCGTGTTCAGGGTTGCATAACAAGGTGCAGATGGTGCATGCCACCAACTGTCTGAATCTTACTGTTACTGATCAGCACATGATTCATTAATCTTCCATTTGGACAGTGCATACAGCACTCTCCCTTTCCACCCTTGTAGCAGCCAGCCGTTGTCTTCATCAGCAACAAAGTCCTCATGGTAAATATTTTTCTTCATCAATAATGCTGACTTCATGATGGCAGGATCGACAGGAAGCTGCTCAAACCCAGCCTTGAGGCACCTTGCTTGCCACTGCTGGTAAGTTTCTGGCCTCTCAATACTGTCAGCACCCTCACATGCTATGATGTTTAAGATCTCCCGCCCAAGCATCCCACCCTCTAACAGCTTTCTCGCTTCATTATCCCGTGAAACATTCGCGTCAAGCATGCAAACAGCGAGGAGTAATGGAACAGAAGCTCTTTGAAACGTGTTACGAAGAAGGGGTCACTGTATGATCCATTCAGAATGCCAAAAATAAACACCTTTGGGTTCATCCTCCTCATGATCTTCAGTACCCTGTCCCTTGCGCTATCCATGGCTACTGTCTCATCGCCGAGGTTCTTCATTCGGTACAAGCAGTTGATTATAAGCACTTCATCCTCCTCAATGTTGAGATCTTCGATCTGAATATCTTCATATCGTGAGTAAATGCCCTGATACTGAAAGGGCACCTTGTACATGTTTGCATAGTCAGCCAACAGCTTCCCTGCCCGCTCAATATTCTCCAAGGGGCTGAAACCTGGCCGTGGCACTTCTATACCTGTAATCCGAAGCCTTGGAGGCACTCCTTGCTCACCGAAAAGCTGAATCAGTGATGGCCATTGAAAACCAGTGCAGACACCAAAATCGACGATGTGCACCCTGGAGTGGCCCGCTGACGTTTCCATAATAGTTTGGTTAGCGAAGGTGTATGATGCCCTGTTGAAAGGGCAAACTGCAAGATAAAAGTTGTAGACCTTCAACACGTCGTCTTCGCTTATCCGCTTCGCCAGCATCTTGTGGAACAACTGGCTCCCTGTCCCAGCCAGGCGTGCCTCAAGGCCATTCACGAAGTAAAATGCCAGTCTCTGGCAACACTCTCCATCTCTTGAGGAGTGTTGTCTCATCTTCTTGATGAGCTCGCTGGCCAACAGACGGTCATCAGCTGCCACAGCCTGTGCACAGTGGATGAGGAGGGTCGAGTGTTGGCCCCTGGATCTCCGACACGGGCGAGCCGACCAATCATCGGCGTTGCCGACTATAGACTATGGTTAGAGGTAGAAAAAGGGAGGGAGATCAGAGCACGCACACAGCACAAGCACCAGCGTTGGCTGGAGCTTTGCAGAGGAGATGGCAAAACTGAACTCTCTCTCTTTACTGAGTTGCAGTGAGAAACTATATATACAACTCTACTCATCTAATCCTAGTACGCATACATGTCAGGCAGCCATGCTGCTACAGTGACTATATGTGACAGCAGGGATGACTTTGGCGCCTGCCCCTGCTGTGGCTACAATACGATAGGGGAGCCGTTCGGCGCCTGCCCCTGCAGCGGCTACAGTGCAGCAGCAGGGAAACCTTTCAGCGCATGTCCCCTGCCGTGCATTCACACAGGGGAGCAACAGATTACACAACAATCTTTCCCTAATCCTACTGCTAACCCTAGAACCCCCTCCATGCCGATCATCTTCTTCAGTTCCGTAAACCAAAGATGGCCGAGCGACTTGGTGAGGACGTCCGTGAGTTGCCGATCAGTTTCGACGAACTCGATGACGATCTGCCCTCCATCGATACAGTCCCTGAGAAAGTGGAACTTGACGTCGATGTGCTTTCTCCGGTCGTGGAGAACCGGATTCTTCGCGAGGACGATGGTGGGCTGGTTGTCCACCATCAGTGCTGGTGGGTGAGCTTCCACACCGGTCAGCTCGTCCAGCAGTCGGCGCAGCCATACAGCTTGGCATGCCGCTATGGCCGCCGTCATGTACTCTGCTTCGCACGTGGATAGCGCCACCACCTTTTGTTTCAGCGACAGCCATGAGATTGGAGCTGACCCGAGAAAAACAAGCATGCCAGAGGTGCTCCACCATCCGTCGATGTCCCCCCATGTATGCATCGTTGAACATAGTGATTTGCAGCCTACTTCCGCCGGTCTTGGAGAAGACGATCCCCTGATCCACCGTCCTCTTGACGTAGCGCAGCAGCTGTTTCACTACAGCCCAATGATCCTCTCAGGGACCCTCCATGAAGCGACTGACGTAGCTCTCACGGTGAACGCAATGTCCGGCCTCATGTGGACTAGGTAGCGCAGACCGTCGATGATGCTTTGGTAGAGTGTTGCATCTACCTTCGCTGCGGTACTAGCCATTGTCTGCTTTAGCCGCTCCTCCATCGGAGTCACGCATGGCTTGCGCTCAGCCATGCCGCTCCGCTCCAACAGCTTCAAGGCGTACACGCTCTGACCGAGCGTAAGCGCCTCCTTCCCCTGTCTCACCTCGATGCCGAGGTAGTAAGAGAGCGTGCCGAGATCGCTCATTCGAAAACGAGCCACCATCTCGCGCTTGAAGCTGTCGATGTCCTCCGCACGTGCGCCGGTGATGATCAAGTCATCCACATACACGCCGACGACGAGCTCCTCCTTCCCCTGTCATCACGTGTAGAGCGCGTGCTCGGTTGCGCACCGTGTGAACCCAAGCTCGCCCAGTGTGGCGTCAAGCTTGGCGTTCCACGCTTGCGGGGCCTATCGCAGCCCGTAGAGCGCCTTGCGCAGTTGGAGCACCCTGTGCTCCGCTCCCTTGACGGCGAAACCCGGAGGTTGCCTAACGAAGACCGTCTTCGCCAGCTCATCGTTGAGGAAGGCTGATTTTACGTCCAAATGATGGACGCGCCAGTCCTTCGCTGCTGCCAAAGCCAGAAGCAGTCGGACAGACTCCATGTGCGCTACCGGTGCAAAGACTTCCTCGAAGTCGATGCCCTCATGCTGGACAAAGCCTCGGGCGATGAGGCGCGCCTTGTGCTTGATAATGGCGCCGCACTCGTCCCTCTTGTAATTGTACACCCACTTCAGGCCGATCGGACGACATCCTGGAGGTGGATCAACGAGCTCCCAAGTCACGTTTTCCTCGATCGCCTTCATCTCCTCTAGCATCGCCCGTCGCCAATTTGCATCGCGCTCGGCCAGCGCGAACATGGGTGGTTCCTCTGTAGTAACGAGAAGCAGCTCTGGGTCATTGAGCAGCCAACCCGCTAGGCCTGAGGGCCCTGTGCCCCCGATGATGTCGTTCAGCCTGCGAAACCGCACCTCCTAACCGTCGTGAAAGGCATCCACGAACTCAGTGATGTCGCTTGGAGGTGAGGCGAACTCGATCGGTGTTGATGGAGTTCCATGTTCCGCCGGAGTGGTCGGCACAGCACCTGGAGTGCTCAGCACCCTGGCTGTAGTGCTCGGCACTACTCCTAGACCACTCGTCACCACTCCTGAAGTGGTCGGCACCACTGTAGGAGTGCTCAGCGCCAGTCTTGGAGTGGTCGGCACCACTTAAGACCTCTCAGCTCTACTATGGGAGCGTTCGGCACCCGTCCAAGAGTGGTCGGCACCACTGCCGGACCGCTTGGCACCACTCCTGGAGTGCTCGGCACCCCTCCTAGAGTGCTTGGCATCGCCCTAGGAGTGCTCGGCTCTGTTGCTAGAGTGGTCGGCACCTCCTCTCTAGCGTCTCCAGCACCGTGGATGACCAAGTGCTCAACGACGAAAGTGCTGGTGAAGCCGCCAGCTTCCCCTGTGCCCGGACTATCCCAGTCCTAGGCCGCCTTTTCATCGAACACGACATCGCACGAGACATGCACCTTGCCTCCGCGTGGGTCATAGAGCTGTTACACCTTGGTACCTTCCGCATAGCCCATTAGCACCATCAGTGTGCTCCTGTCCTCCAGCTTGGTGAGGACCAGCTTTGTCTTCCTAACGTGGCCAATGCAGGCGAATGTCCGGAGGAAGGACACGCTCGGCTTGCGCCCATACGAAGCTTCGAATGGCGTCTTACCCTTCAGGACCTTGGTGGGTGCGCGGTTGAGGATGAACACCGCTGTGGTCACTGCCACACCCTAGAACCTTGCTGGCATACTCATGGCCTTCATCATGGATTGAGCCATGCCGACCACCGTCTGGTTCCACCGCTCCACCACGCCATTCTGCTGTGGCGAGTATGGCATGGTGTGGTGTCGCACCACACCCTGATCCGTGCAGTACGCAGCGAACTCCACCGAAGTGAATTCACCACCCCGATCAGTCCATAGCACGCGTAGCTTGTTGCCGTCGTCCGCCTCCGCGTGCACCTTGAACTTCTTGATCGTCGCCATCGCCTCGTCCTTGCTCGTCAAGAGTTGTAGCCACATATGGTGACTGCAATCATCCATGAGCAGGAGGAAGTACCGCCGACCACCGTTTGTGGCTGGCGTGATTAGCCCACAGAGATCACCGTGGACGAGCTCGAGAGCGTCCACCGCGTGATACTTGGCCGTCTTTGGGAACGGTAGCCTCCTCTGCTTCCCGGCCAGGCAGCTGTCACACAGCTCGCCTCCTTGCTTGATGTGGGATAGCGCTTGGACCATCTTCTCCAACCGACTAAGCGTGTCGAAGCTAAGATGGCCAAACCAGTCATGCCACAGCCACGGCTCCTCGATGTGCCATGCTGCCAGGCACACCGGCTGCTCCACCTTCAAGTCAAGCAAGTACAGCCAGTTTTGAGACCTCTTCATCTTGGCAAGAAGGCGTTGCTCCCGGTCCCGGATCCTGAGGACGTTGTCCTTGATCAGTATCTCGCTGCCGCGCTCATCCAGCTGGCCAATGCTGATGATGCTTGAACGCAGCTGCGGGATGTAATATACATCCATTAGCGTGCGGTGCTCGCCGTTCTGGCACCTGAAGATGATGGTGTTGTGCCCTTGGATTGCCACCCTTGAGCCGTCACCGAAACTTCACCGTGCCGGTCATGTCGTCGTCGAGCTCGGAGAAGGCTTCCTTGGAGCCCATCATGTGGTTGCTGGCGCCGAAGTCCAGATACCACCGCTGCTCCTGTCCACCGCCCACACGTCCGAGGTGGACTTGGGCGTGCGGTTCATCGAGGTGGACAGCTTTTAGAGCCTTCCCATGCCCTTTCACCGCCATCCCCTCTCCCTTCTCCTTGGCCTCAAAGTCGTGCAGTGCATAGAACATCGCCATCAGGAGAGTGGCCTCATCATCTTCATCAGCCTACGCCAGATGAGCCTCAGCCATCTTCTCTTGCTTGCGATTTAGGCACTCCTTTGCCCAATGGCACGTCTTCCCGCAGCGCCGGCAGATGTTGGGGTCAACCTTCTTCTTCTTCTCCGAAGAGGCCTTGCCGCAGCGCTTGCCATCGCCACCCCCGCTGGAGGAGGCTTCCTCAAACTTCTTCCTCCGGGTAGCCCACTCCTCCTCTATCAGCAGCAGCTTGCCGCTGTCCGTTGTTGCCGTCGCCTGTTCCAGGCGCTCGTCCATCGCCCGCAACCGACCAGTCACATCCTCAATGGTGAGGGTGGACAAATCCAGCATCGTCTCTATGGAGAGAGTGATCTAGATGTACTTCGCCGACATAGAGTGGAGGTATATGGAGACTGCCTCTTCTTTGTCGATGGTGATGTCGTGGCTCCTCAGCTTGCTGATGAGTGTCTGCAGGCGGAGGGAGAAGTCCTCCACTAATTTACCATCCTTGAACTTGAGGTTGGCGTACTCCTGCTTCAGCAGCTGGGCCGTCGCCTTCTTTGCACGGTCAGAACCGACGTGCATCGACGCAATGGCCTCACACACCTCCTTAGCAGAGCTCTTCACCCCCAATGACTCCCTGTACTCTGCTGGCACAGCAGCGAGGATAGCCTCCAACGCTGACATGTCATCTTCTTTGTTTTCGGTGCCCTTGTCAATAGCATTCTAGAGCCATCGGTATCTGAGCTTAACCTTCATGGTCACCGACCACTCGCCATAGCTGGTGCGAGTCAGCGTCGGCCAACTGGTGCTGCTAACCTCCCGCACTGTGCGCACAATGACCTCCTATCATGGCTAGGTAGCCACAGCAGCACCGTTGCTGTCGCCAATCTCTAAACCGTCCGTCATCGCCAGTGGTTAGTCCGGCGACGGCGCTTGTACGGCTCTGATACCACTTGTTGGCTCTTGGATCTCCGGCACGGGTGAGCCAACCACTCACCGATGTTGCCGACCACAGACTATGGCTAGAGGTAGAAGAAGGGAGAGAGAACAGAGCACACATACACAGCACAAGCACCAGCGTTGGCCGGAGCTCTGTAGAGGACAGTGTTCGCCTAAACGGCCGATTAAACGGCCACTAAATGGTAAACGGTGGTAAACTGTTTTGTTTAGAGGGTAAACGGAAATTAAACGGTTGACCATTTAAACGGTCAAAAAACGGGAAAACGGTCTAAACGGCGTAAACGGAACGGAGATAAATAGTATTAAACGGTCTAAATAGCTGTTTAAACGGCTGTTTAGACGAACACGAGGTAAATCTAGTTCAGTTTTGTATGGATAAATTTGTATACTTAAGTTTATTATATTTATAAATGTGTACACTTGATATGTTACATATATAAATATCTATATTTGGTTCTTTTCACATGCATAAATATATATACATACCAAAATAATTGATTTTTACTCGGATAAATATGTATAAATGCTAGAATACTTGATTTTTACATGCACATATATAATTATATGTATTTTTTTTTAAAAGTACAAAACCGTTTAGACCGTTTAACTTTGTTTAAACACCGTGTAAACAGCCTAAACGCTAAACAAAAGGCGACCGTGTAAAGACCGTTTACTGTTTAGAAAAACATTGTCAGAGGAGATGGCAAAACTGAACTCTCTCTCTTTACTGAATTACAGTGGAAAACTATATATATAACTCTACTTATCTAATCATAGTACACAGACATGTCAGGCTGTCATGCTTCTACAGTGACTAGATGTGACAGAAGGGCTGACTTTGATGTCTGCCCCTGCTGTGGCTACAGTGCGACAGGGGAGCCGTTCGATGCCTGCCTCTACAGTGGCTATAATGAAGCAGCAGGGAGCCCTTTCGGTGCCTGCCCTCTGCCGTGCATTCACACAGGGGAGCAGTAGATTACTCAACACTGAGATCGACCACCTCTTTCTTGAGCTGCCTAGTACCCTGAGACTTCTGTTGAGCAATTGCTTTGCTTTCACCCTTTGGTGAATTCTTACTTGCTTCCTTTGCAGCCATGTCTCTCAACCTTGCTGTTTCATTGAAACAGTCCGGACCATAGCGTAGCAGAACACTGTCGAGCTTATCATTGTGGTTTATTTTGCAAGTGATGGTATAATTTTTACTCCACCCTTCCTTGGTATCCAAGTCTTGGATATATGGAAAGATTGCATATTTGCTCTTGTCGGGTACTTTTTTCGCTGTAGCAGTGGTCAGTCTGCAAATGGAAAGCTTGTCGCCATCCAAATGGATCACCATCTTATCGAACCCCTTTGCATCCTTGACTTCTCTTCTAATTTGCAAGGCAGGAAAACCAAATCTTGAGGCCCTCCCAGTGCTTGCCAAAGGCTGATATGGCAGGAAAAGATTGTTAGATAATCTTCTTGCATCCCTTGTGTGAATGAGCAGCAGGGGAAGGCGGCACCGAAAAGGGCTCCCTGCTATTGCACTGTAGCAGCTGCAGGGGTAGGCGCCGAATGGCTCACCTGCCGCACTGTAGCCACAGCAGGGGCAGGCGCCAAAGTCAGCCCTGCTGTCACATCTAGTAACTGTAGCAGCATGATAGCTATACTAGGACTAGATGGATATAGTTGTATATATAGTTTGCCACTGCAACTCAGTAAAGTGAGTTAAGATTTGCCATCTTTTATACAGAGCTCCGGCCAACGCTGGTGTCTCTGTTGTGTGTGTATGCTCTATTCTCCCTCACTTCTTCTACCTCTAGCCATAGTGTGTGGTCGAACAATGTTTGTCATGGTCGACAAGACTGGTGAGTAGTCGACTCACCTGAGCCGGTGTTCAGCAAGACTAGTGAGAGGTCGACTCACCTGAGTCGGTGATTCTGTGGGCCAACAAGTGGTATCAAAGCCATACAAACGCCGTCGCCGAACTAACCGCCGGCGATGACGCACGGTTCGGAGATGGGCAACAGCAGCGGTGCTGCTGTGGCTGCCCAGCCACAACAGGAGGTCATTGTTCGCATGGTGCGGGAGGTCAGCGGCACCAGTTGGCTAACGCTGACTCACACCAACTATGGAGAGTGGTCGGTGACCATGAAGGTCAAGCTCAGAGCCCGACAGCTCTAGAATGTTGTTGGCAAGGGCACCGACAATGAAGAAGATGACATATCAGCGCTAGAAGCTATCCTCGCTGCTATACCAGCAGAGTACAGGGAGCCGTTGGGGGCGAAGAGCTCTGCTAAGGAGGCGTGGGAGGCTATTGCGGCGATGCGTGTCGGTTCCGACTACGCAAAGAAGGCGGTGGCCCAGCTTCTGAAGCAGGAGTATGCAAACCTCAAGTTGAAGGATGGTGAATCGGTGGAGGCCTTCTTCCTCCGCCTGCAGATGCTCATCAGCAAGCTGAAGAGCCACGGCGTCACCATCGACGAAGAGGAGGCTGTCTCCAAGTACCTCCACTCCATACCGGCACAGTACATCCAGATCGCTCTCTCCATAGAGACGATGCTGGACTTGTCCACCCTCACCATTGAGGATGTGACAGGGCGTCTACGGGTGGTGGATGAGCGCCTGGAGCAGGCGACAGCAATGAAGGACGGCGGCAAACTGCTGCTGACAGAGGAGGAGTGGGCTGCTCGGAGGAACTCCGGGGTAGCCTCCTCCAGCCGCGATGGCGATGGCAAGCGTCGCGGTAAGGCTTTTTCGGAGAAGAAGAAGCAGGTCGACCCCAACGCCTATCGGCGCTGCGGGAAGACGGGCCATTGGGCAAGGGAGTGCCCAAATCGCAAGCAGGAGAAGAAGGTTGAGGCTCATCTAGCGCAAGCTGACGATGATGATGAGGCCACTATCTTGATGGCGACGTTCTGTGCACTGCACGACATCAAGGCCGAGGAGAAGGCAGAGGTGATGACGGTGAAAGGGCCTGGGAAGACCCTGAAGGCTGTCAACCTCGACAAACCACGCACCCAAGTCCACCTCGGACGTGTGGGCGGCGAGCAGGAGCAGCGGTGGCACCTAGACTCTGGCGCCAACAACCACATGACGGGCTCTAAGGTAGCCGTCTCCGAGCTCGATGACGATGTGACCAGTACAGTGAAGTTCGATGATGGCTCACGGGTGGCAATCCGAGGGCGTGGCACCATCATCTTCAGGGGCTAGAACGCCCGAGCACCGTGCGATAACGAATGTATATTACATCCCGCAGCTACGTTCAAGCATCATTAGCATTGGCTAGCTAATGAGCGTGGTGGCGAGGTACTGATCAAGGACGGAGTCCTTAGGATCAGGGACTGGGAGCAGCGGCTTCTCGCCAAGGTGAAGAGGTCCCAGAACCGGTTGTACCTGCTCGACTTCAAGGTGGAGCAGCCGGTGTGCCTGGCGGCAAGGCACACCGAGGAGCTGTGGCTGTGGCATGCTCGGTTCAGACATCTCAGTTTCGACGCGCTTGGTCGGCTGGAGAAGATGGTCCGAGGGCTACCCACATCGAGCATGGACGCGAGCTGTGTGACAGCTGCCTGGCTGGGAAGCAGAAGAGGCTGTCGTTCCCAAAGGCGGCCAAGTATCGCATAGAGGATGCTCTCGAGCTTGTCCACGGTGATCTCTGCGGGTCGATCACGCCAGCCACAAACAGTGGTTGGCAGTACTTCCTCCTACTCGTGGATTGTGGTGCGCCACCACACCACGCCGTACTCGCCACAACAGAATGGTGTGGTGGACCGAAGGAACCAGACGGTGGTTGGTATGGCTCAATCCATGATGAAGGCCAAGGGCATGCCAGCATGGTTCTGTGGTGAGGCGGTGACTATGGCGGTGTTCATCCTCAACCGCGCTCCCACCAAGGCCCTGAAGGGCAAGACGCCGTTTGAGGCTTGCCATGGAGGCAAGTCGAGCGTGTCCTTCCTCCAGACATTTGGCTGCATCGGCCATGTCAGGAAGACAAAGCCGATCCTCACCAAGCTGGAGGACAGGAGCATACAGATGGTGTTCCTAGGCTATGCGGCAGGTACCAAGGCATACCAGCTCTATGACCCACGCGGAGACAAGGTACTTGTCTCGCGCGACGTCGTATTCGACGAGAAGGCAGCTTGGGACTAGAACAGTCCGAGCACGAGGGAAGCTGGCGGCTTCACCAGCACTTTTGTCGTTGAGCACTTGGTCATCCACGGTGGTGGAGACGCTTGGGAAGAGGTGCCAAGCACTTCGGGAGGGGCACCGAGCACTCCAGCGACAGAGCCAAGCACTCCTGGGGAGGTGCCGAGCACTCCAGGAGTGGAGCCGGAAGGTCCTGCAGTGGTGGCGACCACTCTGGGATGGGTGCCGAACACTCCTATAGCGGAGCCGCCAACCACTGCAAGACGGATGCCGAGCACACCAGGAGGGATGCAGACCACTCTAGGAGTGGTGACGAGCGGTCTAGGAATAGTGCCGAGCACTACAGCTAGGGTGGCGAGCACTCCAGGTGCTGTGCCGAGCACTCTGGCAGAACAAGGAACTCCATCGACTCTGATCGAGTTCGCCTCGCCTCCAAGTGACATCACTGAGTTTGTGGATGCCTTCCACGAAGGTGAGGAGGTGCGGTTCCGTAGGCTGGATGACATTATTGGCGACACAGGGCCCTCAGGCCTGGCGGGTAGGCTGCTCAATGACTCAGAGCTACTTCTCGTTAGTGCAGAGGAACCACCCATGTTCACGCTGGCCGAGCGCAATGGAAATTAGCGACGGGCGATACTGGAGGAGATGAAGGCGATCGAGGAAAACAAGACTTGGAAGCTCATCGATCCACCTCCAAGATGTCGTCCGATCAGCCTAAAGTGAGTCTACAAGGTCAAGCGGGACAAGCACGGCACCATTGTCAAACACAAGGTGCGCCTCATCGCCCGAGGCTTTGTTCAGCGCGAGGACATCGACTTCGACGAAGTCTTTGCGCTAGTAGTGCACATGGAATCTGTCCGTTTGCTACTAGCCTTGGCAGCAGCAAACGACTGGCGCGTCCATCACCTGGACGTAAAATCGGCCATCCTCAACGGCGAGCTGGCGGAGACGGTCTTCGTCAGCCAACCTCCGGGTTTTGCCGTCAAGGGAGCGGAGCACAGGGTGCTCCGACTGCGCAAGGCGCTGGGCTGCGGTGGGCCCCACGAGCGTGGAATGCCAAGCTTGACGCCACGCTAGGTGAGCATGGGTTCACGAGGTGCGCAACCGAGCACGCGCTCTACACGCGGTGACGGGGGAAGGAGGAGCTCGTCGGCGGCGTGTATGTGGACGACTTGATCATCACCGGCGCGTGTGCGGAGGACATCGACAGCTTCAAGCGTGAGACAGGGGAAGGAGGCACTCACGCTCGGTCAGAGCGCATACGCCTCGAAGCTGTTGGAGCAGAGCGGCATGGCTGAGTGCAAGCCGTGTGTGACTCCGATGGAGGAGCGGCTGAAGCTGACGAAGGCCAGTATTGCAGCGAAAGTAGATGCAACACTTTACCGGAGCATTGTCGGAGGCCTACGCTATCTAGTCCACACGAGGCCGGACATTACGTTCGCCGTGGGCTACGTCAGTCGCTTCATGAAGGATCCCAGAGAGGATCACTGGGTTGCGGTGAAGCGGCTACTACGCTATGTCAAGGGGACGGTGGATCAGGGAATCATCTTCCCCAAGACCGGCGGGAGTACCGGAGCATCATCGGCGGCCTACGCTATCTAGTCCACACGAGGCCGGACATTGCGTTCACCGTAGGCTACGTCAGTCACTTCATGGAGGATCCCAGAGAGGATCATTGGGCTGCGGTGAAGCGGCTACTACGCTACGTCAAGGGGACGGTGGATCAGGGAATCATCTTCCCCAAGACCGGAGGGAGTAGGCTGTAGCTCACTGTGTTCAGCGATGCAGACATGGCGGGGGACATCGACGGACGGCGGAGCACCTCTGGCGTGCTCGTCTTCCTCGGGTCGGCTCTAATTTCATGGCTGTCGTTGAAACAGAAGGTGGTGGAGCTATCTACGTGCGAGGCAGAGTACGTAGCGGCAGCCACAGCGGCGTGCCAAGTTGTGTGGCTGCGCCGGCTACTGGGTGAGCTGACCGGTGTGGAGGCTCACCCACTAGCACTGATGGTGGACAATCAGCCCGCCATCGCCCTCGCGAAGAATCCAGTTCTCCACGACCGGAGCAAACACATCGACGTGAAGTTCCACTTCCTCAGGGACTGTGTCGATGGAGGGCAAATCGTCATCGAGTTCGTCGAAACTGGTCGGCAACTCGCGGACGTCCTCACCAAGCCGCTCGGCCGTCTTCGACTCATGGAGTTGAAGAAGATAATCGACATGGAGGGGGTTCAAGGGTAGCAGAAGGATTAGGGGAAGAATTGTTAGATAATCTTCTTTGCATCCCTTGTGTGAATGCGCAGCAGGGGAAGGCGGTGTCAAAAAGGGCTCTTTGTTGTTGCACTGTAGCAGCTGCAGGGGTAGGCGCCGAATGGTTCACCTGCCGCACTGTAGCCACAGCAGGGGCAGGCGCCAAAGTCAGCTCTATTGTCACATCTAGTAACTGTAGCAGTATGACAGCTGTAATAGGACTAGATGGATAGAGTTGTATATATAGTTTGCCACTGCAACTCAGTAAAGTGAGTTCAGATTTGCCATCTCCTGTACAGAGCTCCGGCCAACGCTGGTGTCTCTGCTGTGTGTGTATGCTCTGTTCTCTCTCACTTCTTCTACCTCTAGCCATAGTGTGTGGTCGGACAACGTTTGTCGTGGTCGGCAAGACTGGTGAGTGGTCGACTCACCTGAGCCAGTGGTCGACAAAACTGGTGAGAGGTCGACTCACCTGAGCCGGTAAGACTCCTGCCATACCTATATGGACTCAATGGGGCTGGCAAGGACTGCAACATGCTGTGACTGGAAATGTCAGTAGTGAAACTGCTTCTGCGAGGCCTTTTGTGATAACTGTTGCTACCCTCACCCGGTCCATCTCCTGCTTCGCCGCTGTGATGAAGCGGTGACCACTCGAGTGAAGGCGGGTATACCTGCTCAAGAATAACGTGGAAGGCCTTCTCAGCGGCCTGAAGAGCAGCCTCTCCTTCATGCGAGCCGACCCTCTCATCGATGTCTTCTATCAGGATCTGGCTTATGTGGTGAAGAGTGTTGTTTGGTCTGACCCTTTGGTAGTCTGGACTAACCCCTGCAACAATCTGAAGGTGGTTCTGTCCGAGGTTGCTACTGACATTGTACATTCCAGGGATGGTGACTACACCAGAGAATTGCATGTTTGATTCATTGGTTGATTGGGAGAAGAATGAGGGATCACATAGTCTTTGGTCATACAGTGTGAGTTGTTGCTGAGAAGAAGAGGAAGAAAAGCCATGTTGTCGTTGTCCAGGAGTTGTAATGGTGTGCAGATCATCAATGGGAGGCTCCATCACCATCGAATATTAACCACACTGGAAGGATTATTATCCCTTCAATAGAACACAAGTATTCAGCTTGTCTCTGAGAGGAAAACTAGTTTGTATTCCAATGAATTTTCTGCAAAGATAACAAAAATTAGGTCCATCTTACTCGTATGATGGATTAATCCATTATAATTCATGCACTTAATATTCAAAGTTTTGTTAATAAATGTTTTTAGATAATAGGGTTTTTTTTAAAAAAAAAACTATTATCTAAAAACATTACATCAGCTAGATTCTACTGTCACTAGCAAAGCATGTTTTTAGCTAGGCGGGGATGTGGTGGTGCTTAGGTGTCACATTAGTGGTACAAACGTCAACAAACGGATATGATCAACCCATGCACTGTGATGGGTTGATGATGTTAGAAAAGAAAACGACTGTTAGCTTTATTTGCCTATTAAGAATCTTCTTGTTGGCATCAGTGGCACACATGAAAGACTCATTTACAACATTTCTTGCAGCAATTATGGATGCTCCTGATTTTTCTTATCTCTTGTCTAAGCTGGAGGATGCATGCATAATGCCTAATCTAGCTTGGACATGAAGAGCAAGCGTTGAAGCTGTACTTCACATACCTTTATTAATAGCAATGTCACCTATGTCCAAGGCCTTCAGCAAGAGGTGGCAGGAAGAAGAGGGCATGTCTTTCACTCCAGGCAATGCAAGCAGCCTTATATAGACATAAAAAAAAATCTTGACCAACAAGACTTGAGGTGCCCTTTGATGTTGTTACACTGAACAGTGAGACTGGCATCAATGTAACCAAGCAAAGTTATCACCTCCCATTGCCCTTTGTTTTTCTCTAATTTCTTCTCAAGCAACACCGCCCATGGGGATGTCGACATCCAGGATGCAGACAGAGAATGGTCCAGACTGTATTCTCATCCTCTCTATAAACTTAACTCTGCAGCTTGGAAGATCGATAACAGGCAAAAATTGGGAGCAAAGACCAAAGAGCGAGACCACTTGATGAGCTCAGCTGGTTAGGTTTCCGTGCCCATGAAGGAGTTTGACAATATCATCCATCTGCCCACCTAACTAGCATGAAGGTTAATGTGAATAATATGATGGATTTATATCCTAACAATAGGCCTACTAATGCTTTACAAAATTTGTTGACCATATAGATGAAGTCATAACTGTTCACCCAAAAAATGAGAATGATACTATACACATGAAGGTTTTGTTCACCCATATGGCAAACTTGTATGTGGAACTACAAGTGAAATATCAGATAATGATGGCCCAATGCAATACTTCAGAATGATATCATCCTACTTTCCTGTGTGCTGTAGGGTTTTTTATTTTGTTTTGGCAGTTGATTGTATTTCATGGACAGCAGAGATGCATATACTTTTTTTATGCGTCTCCAAGTTTCAGCATTTTGCCTACAGGTGTCCCATCTGTAGCAAACTGCAAAGTAGTCAGCAGCAAATATATATTTGATAAAGTAGATGCAGTCACACCATATTACGTAACAGCAGGCACAAACCACCAAGAAATGAACCTTTTTTCTTCACTGATGATGAAAACTAGAGTAATAAACTAATAATGGACTGGCAGACAGTCGACGACACTCGTATAAGATGGAGAGTGATAGAAACAAATGAATCCAGGTTGGTATGGGTGAACCAGTCAAAAATCATTTTTTTCATCCTTTTTCTTGTAAAGAATGAAGATAAGTCGACTTACTAAAGTTAATGAGAGTCAAAAAAACGTCTAGAAATGGCACCTGTGAAACAAATGCAGGTGCATAGTCCTATATACATCATCAATTCCAAAATTATAAGACGTTTTGGCTTTTCTAGATATATTATTTTTACTATGTATTAGACATAGTGTATATCTAAGTACATATAAAAAATTATGTATCTATAAAAGTCAAAATGTCTTGTAATTTGGAATGGAGGAAGTATATGCTGTTGAAAATGACATAGTCTAATTAAATTTGCAAATCAATAATTATTCGTGCTGCAAGGTTGTTGAAACCTGGTGTTCTATTCTGGCAGGGTCATTGCAGAAGCATGTTCATTTGGTGCTGGCAGATCTGGCAGCTAGGCATACCTACATCTCCATTATCTGGTGCAAACTTTTCCATGGAAGATTTTTTAGAAGCTTTTAACCGTATTTCTGACAGCAATCATGCACCACAGCACCAGGATATACACAGTTCTGGCAGTGGGATTAACGAATGATGCTTCTGACCAAACAGATTGGAACCTATGACAAGGCAAAATGCCCTCGTATCGATGACTCCAATGGAAAAGGCAGAATGATACATACAGGACGATATACACTGTTGCTAGTTGCTGCACCTGCTGCCGGCCTGCTAACCTGCAGACTTTTGGAAGTGACAAGCTGCAGAATAAAAACAGAGATCAGTTTGGGCGTGTGATGCTAATGTTACTGCTGTCAATCTGCAGAGAGAGAAAAAAACAGCTACTGGACAACTTGCTGTTGAACAGAAACACTGAAGTCCCAAGCAAACACAAAACGAGTACAGAAAAATGCAAGCAGCTGGACACAGATTGAGATGAAATCGGCAACCGGTGTATACACTGAATCGATCTCAAGCCAGGTGCTACCATCTGTAGCAAACTACAAGGCAGTCAGCAGCAGATATATATTTGATAAGGTAGATGCAGTCTCACCATAGTGCGTAAACAGCAGGCATAAGCTACAAAGAAATGAACCTTTCCTTCTCTTATGATGAAAACTAGAGTGGTAAACTAATAATGGACTGGCAGACAGTCGACGACACTACGTACAAGATGCAGGTACAGCTAATGGTGTCAAATGGAGAGTGATAGAAACAAATGAATCCTGGTTGGTACGGTTGAACCAATAAAAATCTTTTTTTTCCCATCCTTTTCTCGTAAAGAATGAAGAATGAGTCCATTTAAGTTACGAAGTCTAAAAATTCCTTTTCTTGTAAAGTTAAGGAGTCTAAAAACGTCTGGAAATGGCACCGGGAAACAAATGCAGATGTATACATATATGCTATTGAAAATGGCATGTCTAATTATATTTGCAAATCAGTAATTCTTCATGCTGCAAGGCTGTTCAACCTGGTGCTATATCCTGGCAAAGCCATTGCAAAAGCATGTTCATTTGGTGCTGGCAGATCTGGTAGCCAGGCATACCTCCATCTCCATATCATCTGGTGCAAACTTTTCCATGGAAGATTATTTTTAGCAGCTCTTAACCATATTTCTGACAGTAATTATGCACCAGGATATTCTAGAACAGAGCTCTGGCATTGGGTATATGGAATGATGCTTCTGACCAAACAGATCGGAACCTATGCAAAGGCAAAATGCCCTCGTATCAGTAACTCCAATGGAAAAAGCACAATGATACATACAGGACGATATGATTCATCTGATAAAATAAAGCTGCCTTACAGCTTGCTTTTGCATAAAATCGCCTGTAACAGAACCCAGAACAATTCATGTGTTAAAAGTTGTACATTAATTCACAGCTTGATGCAAGTGAATATTGTTTTACTGCAAACTCAGTGACCAACATTTTTGCCCTCTGATTGAGGAATCCATAGGCAGTGTTCTACTTCGCACTGAACTAATCCCATAGTACCAAAATTACACCGGGGTTGGGAAATAACATTACAACTCAGAACCATTTTGATACAATGCTCGTTCTAAGATGCTCCTTAATCTACACTGTCCTGGTGAGTCTCTTCTGGCTGACACGGTGAACAAAGGTCACATGGTATGTGCACCCAAGGAGCCTCTCAAAAGTGAGCCAAACTGTATACTAGAGTCCATGAAAGCTGGAAGCAACAAAAAGGAAAATAAAATGTCAATGACTAAATCAAGATTGGTCCTTTCCTTTTGAAGTAGAATAGAATAGTTACCAGGAAAAGGGTGAACGAAGCGAAAAGACCCTCCTGAAGTAGCGCCCCATGGCCTCCATATTCCTCCTCGTCAATCTTCAACAGGTATGTGTAGTACCAATAGATAATGCCAGTCGAGATGGTCAGAAATCTGTAAAAGAGGCCGCATTATGTGTCATATTAGAATACAACCATAGTAAAAGTTCACATGGTGAGGTCAAATAAAGTTATAAAGATCAAACCCAAAAGTCGCCATAATTTTTTAGCAATGGCCAATGGATAATGACATCTCGGTCATGGAAACAAATTTGTTTTGCATAGCAACCAGCATGTCATTTGCTTAGCATTCATCTGAAACTTAGCACTTAGCAGGAAATCAAACATGGTTCTATTCTGCAAGTCTTTTCCTGTTTGCTAAGGCCACCTTAAAAGTATTTGTACGCTCAGTCCTGACCAAGACGCATTATGGAAAACCATGTCCTCCTACTTACAGCCCGAAGATAGTCTAGAGTGCGATAAACTCCATCAAAGAAGACAGAGAAGCCTGAACTGAATCGTTGAAGTAGACAGCTACACACCGCCAGAGCTGTGTCACGGCAGTACCATTTAGCAGGAACTAGAATTCTGGGCATCGAAAATAGCCCAAGCGCACTGTTATACAGAGGTAGAAACTCTCAAATTTAGCTACTGCCCAGCTAATCAGATCCCCAACTCACAAGTAAACGCAAGGGGTGACAGCAGATCTGACCGCACATGTGACTAGTAGCAGTGATGAAAACGTCCCTGAACCGACAAACAAAATTGAGGAACCAATCACTCTCCTGAATTCCAATCACACAAACAATATCAATTTAACAGTGGCCATGCCCATCGCAATGTCCCAGAGCTAGAAAATCGATATGATATCTATCTAATCTAATTGTAACAAATTACAAAGTGTATGTACGTACAAAAGGGCTTAGTTTCGCTATTGTGCGCGTAGGTGAAGCTACAGATCTACACACGGCAAGGCTGGAGTTTGACAAGATGGGAGAGAGAGAGAGAGAGAGGTGTTAGGAGGGGGGACTGACAGTGCGATCCAGACGGCGCCGACGAGGGGGATGGCTCCCCAGAGCAGGCCACAGATGAGCCCCACCGCCTGGCGGATCCAGTGCACCGCGTCCAGCAGTTGGTCCTGCCACAGCCCGGCCGAGCGGAGAAGAGAGCGTCAGCACGGCAGCAGCTACCGGCGCGCGTGCGGGGAAACGAGGGGCGGGGCGTACCTTGTCCCAGGAGGCCTCCGGGTCGAGGTACCTCGCGAGCTTGGAGGACAGCGCGTGGCCGCCGCCGCCGTTTGACTGCTGCGCCTGCGCGCGCGACTGCTTCGCCGACGACCTGGCCTTGGCCATCCCTCGCCCTCGCTGCCGCTCGCTGCGTGTGGGGGGAGTAGAAGTGGATGGAGCGGCGGCGGGATCCCCGAGGCGAGGTGGGGGCGTTGGGAGATGGGATCGCGGGCGGTCGCGGCGGCGGCGCACGTGGGGGAAAAAATCGAAATCGAGGCAAACCGCAAAAGCAGTTGGCTCAAAACTCAAAAGCCACCCCCACAGCTTTTGGTATTTGCGTTTATACAAATCGGATGACCGCATTTTACCGTTTTCGTTTAAAACTACACAACTTTTGGAGTACAAACGAATTCGATACAAACCGGACAGTTTGACTTCAAATCTGCATTCAGATTATTTTTTTTCTATAAACTTTGCTGACAGTACAAGTATAAAAAATAAAGTTTCGTTTGGCAACACTTTGTTCCGCGAGATTTTGGGCTAGCACTCAAACACCAGCCCCATGCATTTTCCACTCTCTGCTCCCGCATGTCTCCCTCACCTTCTCCTTCCATGCCTCCCCGTACTCCTATCGCCACCTCCTACCGTCATCGCTCTTCACCTCCCCCACTATCATGCCCTGTTGTCTTCTCTCTCAGATCCATGTGGTGGAGGCCTCTCTCTTTGAGACAGTAGGAGGCGGCGAGGTCCAGCAAGAAGAGGTGAACCACCATCCCGCCTATCCAGCGCCCTCTGCTTGCGGCTCCTCGACTGCAACAATGGTCGGACCTCTGCTGCGGTCGCACATGGAACTAGAGTGAGAAGAATCCCTACCGATGGTATTTTCTGTGGGTGGGGAGCTGGTGGAGCTAAAGCGGCGGAGAGCCGATTGAGAGCACCTACCAAATGGCCTCTAAAATATGTAGACTTATAATGATTTTCCACCATGTCATTTTATTGATATAGGGGTGAAACATTGAATGGATATTTTTCGCCGAGGCAGCTTGTTCTACAACAGTACCTTACCAACTCCGGGCCCAATAGAAGCAAGCCCTATGGCCAATCCAGCAGCAACAACGGAAGCGGTAGCAATTAGTGGATTCGTGGTGAGTTCCTCGTGTAAAGAAATATAGAGAAATGGTTAAGGATACAATCAACAAAGAAACTATTACTTTCAATTTCTAAGCTCCATCCGGTAGAAGTAACTCATAAGCACAAATAAATGATAATCAAAATTGTCTAAATTACATTAGGATCTCATTTTTAGTTTCTAATCATTAGAGGTATGAAGGTTTGGGCCCGTTCTTATTCGAGCCTACGTATCCAACTTCTTTTTCAGATTTGTACAATCCAAAACTGAATATTTAATATCTGATATCATATCTAATTGTGAATACTCAAAGTCAAATATCTTATATGGATCTATATTATTTTATTAGTATACCTGACTATCCGTTGACCAAACTAGACTCAAACTGTCGCGCGCGCCGCTGCCGATCCACACGCGACAGCTTCAGGATCTTTGTAATGGTCGAGTGACACGGAACACCCCATGTGGCAAACCAACACACATAACATCCAACATCATGCCCAACTATACAGGTTATTATGCTTATAGGAAAATACATGATTCACAGAGTTTATACAGTTTTAGTTTCTCCCTCTAGGCTCAACTCTTCAATCTCTCGATCGAATTCTTATCGGAGTTAACTTGCAGCTCATCTTGGATTCCCCCAATCCAAGATCTACTATGCAGCGGTGAATTGAGCGCTACCTCGCATCCACCGGGGCAACAATACCTGCAAAACAACTTAACGGCAGTGCCGTGAGTACATTTCGTATTCGCAGGACTTAATTCCAACACATAGATATTTGGTGGATGCAAAGAATAGGGTTAATTGGATCTGTGTCATTATAATTGTCACGTTTTTGAAGCGCGCCATTACTATTCATCAAACTACGCCAGTGCCATTATAATTCCGCGATTGTTTGAGACACGCCACTATGTACGCCCGACGCCGTCTTGGACCCACTGTCAGGCGTACATGAGGGAGCCATATTTTCGTATGGTCCGTTTTGCCCTCCCGCGAGATGATAAGGACGCCGACGCCCGCCTTCTGTTTGCAATCGCCGTCCCCCTTCCCCACTGTCTTCCCCAATCCCTAACCCTAGAACAGCGACAACAATCCTCTGCGGTAGGCGGCGCCTCTTCTCCCCTTCCCATTGCCGTCTGGAGATGACGAGCGCCGCATCCTCCAGCTCGGCCCAGAAGGGTGATCTCCCTAGGATCAACTGCCCCAAGTGCCATCTAAAGGTGATTAAATGCAGGAGCAAGAACAATGATGTGTACTATAAGTGCCCTAACCATTTCCCAATATGTTGGTTGATTGGCTTTAGCTTCATCTGTGGGTTATCTGTTTTTCTTATCGGATTGAGAAAGATTGTTTGTTCAAGCAGAATAACAGCAGTTGTCCATACTACTGGTATGAGGAACCCTATCTAGAATACTTGTGCTACAATCACCCTGAGCTGCTGAATCCGGGTCCTACAAAAGAAGAGAAATCAATTGCAGAAACCATTGCAGAAGAGGTCAATGGCGACCTGAAACTCCAGATGTGTCAGTTGACGCTCTAGGTGTCTGAGATGAAGGGTGAGCTTGGTGAAGTGATGCTGAAGCTCATGGAAGCCAAGGAAGAAATTAAAGAAGAGATTGCTAAGGGAAAGTCTCCAGCAGTGTTTACTTGTGACATTAGTTAGGTGTAGGTTAGTTGTCAGTTTAGTTGGCAGTGTGTTGAACTGAATGTACTCCAGTTGACCTTGAATGTAGCTGGCTATTATCTGAACTGAAGCACTTGTGTTTGCCATGCTTTTGTTTAGTTTGTTTATGAATCTACCTCAAATCCATCAATTTCAGTACCCACATAGTTTGAAATCTTTTAACTTTGCTAAGGGCTTCAAAGCATCTGAAGTTTGTGAGCTCTGATGGTACATGTGAGCATGTGAATAAAATTTAGACCAACTGAGAAGTGACTTAGTGAGGGAAATGAGCTACAAGTTCTGAGTTATGAGAACCACTACAAGCTACAGTAGATGATGGCCTTGTACCTCCTATGTGCACGGCGACCACAAATTCAGTGCTCGTGCATGCAGAACAGAAAGCAAAATGTGTAGTCCTATCTAATTACAGGCGCAATACTTAACTAATAGAAACATTGCAACATGTCAAGCAGAGAAAAAATATTAGTTCCCAGAACATGTATTTATCTGAACTGAACATTTTCATCTTACTTAACATCCATTACAGAAGCAAAATTCCAGAAGTAAACTTGGCAACATTCGACCATTACAGATGCAACTTTCTAGAAGTAAACATGGCAACATTCGACCATTACAGATGCATAGTTCCAAAACATCCTACTTAACATCCATACAGAGGACACCATTATAGGTCCATAGTTCCCAAACTCATCTATGAGCAGCCAATCCTACTTAAGAGCAGCAAAAGCACACATCAGGTGTCTTAGACCAGCAAAAGCATAGAAAACACATCATTTACTCCACGCTGAGCCAGCACTTGAGGCTTCTCACCACTCTTGCTCTAGGAGCACTTGTAGCCTTCTTTAGCTTCTTCTTTACAGGAGTCTTCTTCTTCTTCTTTGGCTCCTGCTTATTTGCACTTGTCTTCTACTTCTTCTTTTTTGGTGTCTTGCTCGGCCCTTCATCTTCTTCTCTCACCCTGTAATAGATGCCTATCAGTTAAACAATCCTTGCCTATGTATATTCACAAGCAAATCAGGACTAAGACATGTACCTTTTAAGTGATGCCTCTGTAGATGCCTGATCAATACCATCATCATCTTCTGTTGGTTTAGCAAATTTGCAGGTCTTCTCAAAGTGCCCAAAGCCTTTGCACCTTCTGCATTTCACTTTCTTTCTGTTTGCCCTTTGTTCCATACTCCCTCTGATCCTGACCACTCTAGGTTTGCCTACTGCTCTCCTCTGCCGAGGTGGGTACAGTTTGTATCCTAGTTCCACCTTAGGCCAGTCAGCCCTATCAGGCATGGGTGGAACTCTGTCTGCATATGCTGCTCTGAACCTATCAACAGAGTAGTATTCATGCACAAAATCCTTGATTTGCAAGCCTCTATTGGACAAGATCCAAGCCAGTGCATGCCTACAAGGTTTTCCTGTGATCTGCCATACCCTGCAGGTACATTTATGGTTGACAAGGTCCACAGTGTGCCTTTTGGTGTTGTTCCATTCATCAATCAGGGTTACCTCAACAAAATCATCATCACTTACTGCAACTTTAACTATCTTCAAGTGCTTGCTAATTAGGTTCAGCTCCTTTATAACACTTGGCAAAATGTCTTCACTCATTTCCCTACCAACCTTTCTCCTAAGAAACCTCTTCTCCATCACCATCTCCCTGAGCCCATCAACTAACTCATGTATGAGCAGCCCTTTCATGTCCTTCACCTGACTGTTGAAGCTCTCTTATACATTGTTTGTCAGGTAGTCACATTTACTGTCCTCTGAGAACCCACACCTATACCAGATTCAGTTGTGGTGATCCTGCAAGTACTGAATTGCATCAGGAGCAAACTCATATATCTTCTACATGTGCCACCTGAATAGCCCTTCAGTGTAGCTCCTAGCAGTTGGATAGAGATGAGTTGTGAAACATCTCCTGTGTAATGCTTCATGAAGTTGGAATATAGATGTCTCATGCACTCCCTGTACTCAGCCTCAGGAAACACAGCACCAACTGCCTTCTCCAAGCCCTTACATGCATTAGTACAAATCACTAGTCCTTGAGGGCTCCCAACATCCCTTCTCAACTGCTGCATAAACCACTTCCAGTTGTCCTCATTTTCATAGTCAAAAATAACATATGCAATGTAATACAACCAGTTATGTCCATCAACTCCTGTAGCAGATGCCAACTGTCTAATGTATTTACCAGTTAGACTAGAGGCATCAACACCAATGAATGGCCTACAACCAGCTAAGAACCCATCTACACATGGTTTGAGAGCTACAAATATCCTCTTAAACCTTCTTTTCTTGCCTACTTTCTACACATC